GCGGGGGCGCCGGGCGGTCTCGGAGGGCGTGGGAGCCGGGGCGGGGCGCGTGCAGACCCCCCAGCGCACCAAGGGGCCCAGAGGGCGGGCCCGCCGCGCCAGCACTGCGCGGCCGAGCGCCGGCCTCTGTGCGCACAGCGGAGCCTTGGGCAGGGGCCCGGGCCCGGGAATGCGAGGGAGGGGGCCCGAGAGGGGTAGGCTCGGTGGGGGACGGACGCCCAAGGAGGCTTACCGGAGGAGGAACCTCTGGAGCCGCTCCCTGCGGTGGGAGCAGGCATCCTCCGGTGGGTGTGTGTGTGCAAGGGCCGGCGGCACGGGGGCTAACCCCAGCGCTGCTGCAGGGTCCGGGCCGCACTAAGTGCCTGAGGCAAACACACTATGGCTGAGTTCCTTGAGAGGGCGCTACCCGCCCCCCAATTGGCCAAGAACGTAGAGAGTGCTGGGTAGCGGCAGGGACCCCAGGTGGGGGCGCAGACCCTGGGGGGCTGGCAGGCTGAGACTAAGTCCACCTGCTGTGGGTCTGACTCAAGCTGGAGGCTGGAGCTGGGGTCCCAGGAGGACCAGCTTGGCTGGCCGGCAGTCTGTCTGTCCAGGGAGGAGTAGGTCTGAGGGTGCCTGGGTCCCCATCCTGAGTGACTGTGGTACCTTCTCTTCCCAGTCCCAGCTCACACAGAAGAGGGCTCTTCTCCCCAACAGCATGGAAGCCAACAGGAGCTAGAGTAAGGAAAGGGTCCTGCCTGGGTGCCTCTGGCCCACCTGTCTTGTGGCCCTAGGACCAATCTTGGATTCAGCCCAGGGCCCAGTGCCCACCAGGCCAGTCCCCAGGGAGCCCTCACACTAACCCTCGGGGCCACCTGCTGGGTCAGCAAGACTGCAGTATGCTGACCCCATCCCTGCCCCCAGCCAGTGCACAGCCCCAGGCAGTTCTTACCCCCACATCCTCTCCTGGGCTGTCCTCCCTGGTCACCCTCCCCGAAGGCCACAGCGGTACACAGCTGCCCAAATCTATTCACCAGCCTATCAATCAGTTACTCCGAGGTTGAGCCAGGTGGGGGCTGCGTCCCTTGGACCCCTTCCTGGCAGTGGGTTGGCCCTCCCAACTCCTGGTAGAAAAGGCTGGCAAGGGCAGGACTCAGCCTGAGGGCCAAGGATGGGTGGGGTGAACCTCTGAAGGGAGGCCGATGGGCAGGGAGGCTAGGTGAGCTCCAGGCCCCTCTCCCAGGACAATGTCCGAAGCTGCTCCCCAGGCCCAGCTGTCCCGCCAATTCCTGTAAGCCTCCGCCTCTTGGAGGTGCGTGTTGCTTCCTGGTTTGGTTCCATCAAAGTTGTCTGCTTGACAGAAATGCCAGTGGGCACCCAGAGGAGTCTCTCTGTCCCGAGAACCAGGCTGTAGGGTCTGGGTCTGGGTGGGTTTGGCCCGTGGGCAGTCAGGCAGGAGGGAAGAGGGGGGGTGTTTCTTCCCTGCTCCCGCCCCCTTGGGGCCAAGCCCTCTTAGACCACCACTCCATGGGAGACGGGGGTCTCTTCTCCTTCCCTCTCTCCCCTCCCATCCCCCTAGTAACAAACCTGGAGTGCCCCAGGTGCTTCACACCCTGTGTTAGTTTCGTGGGGGGCGTGTGCTATCACACACGGCTTAAAGCACAGAAGTGTATCATGTCACAGTTCAGGAGGCCAGAGGTCGGACATCAAGGTGTGGCCGCAGTCCCTCTGAGAGTCCTAGCGGAAGATCTGTCCCCACCTCTTCCAGCTTCTGATGGCTCCAGGCTTCCTTGATTAGCCCCAAATCTCTCCAATCTCTACTCCCTTACTCACCTGGTCTTCTCTTCTGTGTGTGAGAGGACCCTTATCATTAGATTAGGAGTCCTTGAGTGGTAAAAGGGAACTCTGGTGGCCTAGTGCCTAAGGCATGTGACTGCTAACCAGAAGTGGTGGTTCAAACCCACCAGCCACTCCCTGGAAGGAAGACTAGGCAATTTACTTCCATAGAGATACTTCCTCCTGCCTTGGAAACCCAAGGAGGGGTTGCTATGAGTTGGTTTGTTGGTTTTGGGTGGTGAGAACAGTTACATGCTTTACTACATTTTAGCCTGGCGATCCAATTCCAAATATCAGCCCTTGAAACCCCTATGGGATGTGGAACTACTCTGACACCCATGGGATCACTGTGGGTCAAAATCGACTTGATGATAATTGGTTTGGTTTTGCTCACTGGGTTTAAGGTCAAGAGCGTGATATTGGACATGGTTATCTCACAGTCTTTAATGACACTGGCCTTCTGCTAACCAGAAGGCTGGCGGTTCAAACCCACCAGCCACTTCTCGGAAGGAAGACAGGGCAATGTACTTCCATAGAGCTACTGCCTTGGAAACCCAAGGAGGACTCGCTGTGAGTCGGGACGGCCAGACGGCAATGAGTTTTTTTGATTGTTTGTTTGTTTTTTTAAGATCCTTTTTGCCAAATAATATCACATTCACAGGTTCTGGGGGTTAGGATGGAGACATATCTTTTTTGGGGCCACCATCCTGTCATATTCCATGGTGGCTGGTTTCTTTTGTGCCACTCACAGTCTGAAAGTGGCCCCTTCAGTACATCTCTCAACAGATCTGTCTGGTTGGCATTTAGGGTCCAACAGCAGGTACGTTTCATGACTCTCATTTGATTCTGCCAGATGACTTCCTCAGGGTCCTACCGGTTCCTGCTGCCACCAGCCAAGGCCTCGCCGCCAGCTTTGCCTCCCATCCCCCAGAGAAGGCCATTCTTTAAAGGGATTGTTTACTCTTAGTGTGGAAATGATTTTATAGTTCAGAATCTCTGTGTGGAGTCTACTGGTTTAGACTCAAGCATTGTGGTGTTACGTTGTTGCATTTGGTTGATTTGAAGGCCTTGAGGCTGCCTCCCTTGCCATCGGAGGCTCCGCCCCAGGATCGCCACGTGTCTCCTAGGTCTCACCGAAGTTCTTTGACAATCTAGCCTGTTACGGTGCTCTTCCGTTGGCACCCCACGGCTGACCATTCAGAGGTGGATAGTCCTGGCCACCTGACGAAGTAAACCCTCCAGAGGCCAGATGACCAGGTGAATGAGGTGAGGAGAGAGAAGGCAGAGAACCTGCTGAGGGTGGGGTCCCGGGCTCCGGGCTCGGGAGTCCACAGGATCTCTGGACACTGGCTGTCCCAGATAGCCCTTCTGTGTTTACACCTCCTGGTCCACTCCCCTTGGACTCCCCACCCACACCCCTGTCTCCTAGGCCCAGACCCGTGGGGTTTGGAGTGAATATGAATGTGGGAGGCAGAGGGCCAAGCAGGAGGAACAGGGGCTGCCAGCAGCCCGGCCTAGCCCGGTGGGTGAGTCAGACCTGCGCACCCCGGCTTGCTGGGACCTGCGCAGATGAGAGCAAGGGGAGGTGAGCTGGGAGGGAAGCCCAGGCTGGGCTGTGCACTGGCTGCGGGGACCACCATGGCTGGCAGTGGCCTGCCCCACCTCGATCCACTCCTGGGTCTCCCTTGTGCCCGTTCGGACTTGGCTTCAAGGAGCGAGCCTTGGAGGACGATGTTTCTGGTGTGGCCTTAAACCTGCAACCCCTTCTGCTCTCCGCTTCCTGATGGGGTGGGGCGTGAGGCTGAGGCTTGGGGACCTGCCACACTCAGGTCACCTTCAGGTCGCTCGGAGTGGCTGGAGCCCCCACGGGAACCACTTGCTCAGTTTGCCCAGGATGGAGGGCCTGCTCCAGGGGTGGGGCTGGTGGTAGGATACTGGAAAACCAAAACCAAAGCAAACTCACTGCCATCGAGTCGTTTCTGACTCACAGCGACCCCCGCTGGGTTTCTGAGGCTGTGAATCTTCACACAAGTAGATCGCCCCATCTCCCTTCCGCGGAGCAGCTGGCTTTGAACCACTGACCTTTCAGTTAGTCAAGTGCCTTATCCACTACCATCAGAGAGCTCCTGGATACTGGAAGCAGAGGGGAAACCGAGGCCCCGAGGCCTCTCCGAGAGGCCCTCAGGAGCTCCCCACCTTCAAATATGCACTCCCACCCCAGGGAGTTTCTCAGGCAGGGTCCCCCTGCCAGTGGGGGGCCCCTAACTATCCACCCTCAGGAGTGCCTTAGTCCCTGGGAACCACTGCTATCTCCCTCAGTCCTCCCACAACGGGGCCCCAGGTACAAGGGCAGGCCACTCCTGAGCTGAGTTGCATTATGGATGTTGT